CGAAGAGCCCTAAATTAATTTCTTCTTATTTCTGTAGCCTTTTAGCTGACAATGAACATTTGGGGCTTTTGTTGTAAATTCTATAACTTTGAAAATAAAGGTCATGTCGAGTTGGGAGAGGTCTCATTTTAATCAGAAATGTGCGGGCTACAATCATGCCGCATTAAGAAAGGTTCAGGTTAGTTTTTGGGGTTTCTGAAAAACTGGTTTTCTAGAATACCAGGTCTTCGAAGGCCTAGCAGCAAAAACCATTGTCATATTCGGAATCAGCATAGTCGATAACCTATTCTCCACTAGATTTCAACAAAAAAGCGAGCGGACACTTGGGGCAGTTCCCTCGTGAGTATAACTGACACTCATAATACATCAGAAGATTCCTTGATGCCAGAGCTATCTATCTGACTGAATGTAAACCCTTTTAGAAGCAAATCCGTTGGGCAAAAAGTTTCTGCGGCTCGGGTATTGTGTCGGTCCCAGGACTGGCACCCGGTGACTATTGGTAGCCTTGAAAACGGATGGACTATAGGTAATCGATCAAGCTGAGTCCTGTACCGATATTTGTTTTTAGAAAAGTTCTAAAAGTCTGCCGAAAGGCGGGTTTTCAGGCTGTTTTCACCTTCTATTAAAAAATTCGCTATTCACTCAATAAACATCAGAACGAGTTTAAGACTTCAGAATGTGAAGTATTTAAGCTATTCTATAGCCTATTTATAGGAGTTCTCAAAAGAAATTTTACGAAAGTCTAAAGTTTTCCAAAAGGGTTTCTGGAAACCCATTAAAACAAATATGCTTTTTCGATTTTTTTGATCTTATAATCATGTTTAGCGGAGAAGATTAATCATATTCTGAAGGTCTGAACTCGTTCTGATGTTTATTGAGTGAATAGCGAATTTTTTAATAGAAGGTGAAAACAGCCTGAAAACCCAAATTTTCGTAAAACTCGCCTTTCGGCAGACTTTTAGAACTTTCCTAAAAACAAATATCGGCACAGGGCTCAGCTTGATCGATTATCTATAGTCCATCCGTTTTCAAGGCTACCAATAGTCACCGGGTGCCAGTCCTGGGTAGACATGCAACGGTTACGATTAACCGTAATCGTAAATAACCGATCGAACGGTTAACTGTAACCGCAAATAACCGCTTTATAACAACTCAGTGTATACTTAGTTTTTAGTACGGTGATATCGGTTTACATTAGAATAGGGGGGGACACTTTCTCTTTCCTACTTCCTTTTTTTATTATCAAAAGAAAAGATATCGCTTTTCTTTCTTTTGGAAAAGAAAAGGTACTATTTTCCTATAATCATAAAATATCACGTCGTGGTTTTTTAGACGATTCCTTTTTTATGGAACCGAGACCTTTTATCTTGTTTTCTTTCGACAAAATGAAGACACACTATTGATAAAGCTACAAAAAAATACATTTGCATGTTATCGTTTAAAAGAATCCTTTCATTTACTATGTAATGAATTGTATTTCGTTGAATTGTTACTGCATGAGAAATTCTTTTCCGGTTCTAAGCTGAGAACCGCGATTCTGTTCTAAGTTCGGAACCGATACCTCTTCTCTTTGTTTCGGTTCTAACGCGAGAACCGGAACCGAGAACCGAACATCCATAGTAAACAACAAGCATGCAACGGTACTAACCCTGCCAGTACCAATACCGATAGTACTGTTGCATGCCTACTAAGTAATATCTAACAATGCACACAATACATAATCATAACTTGGCTATAGATAAACACAAGAAAAGTGATTGAACTTAATGACCATTTTAACAAAGGTTATTTTCCACCTTGTTTCCAGTTATTAAAAAACAATAATTTCCCAAGAAAAGTTCAGTGTTAAACTTCCTCAGACAAAATCTGTTAACAGACCATTACTTCTTATAATGGATAATCATTATTCTCATTTGTCATTTCGAACAATGAAATTAGCTTTAGATAATGATATTCATATACTGGCATTACCGCTCTCATACAACACACGCATTACAACCGTTAGATGTTTATACGTTAAAAATTGTCAAAACAGAGTGGCGTCGTATATTAAATGATGATTATCAAAAAACGCATGCAAGTGCAGTTGATAAAAGTGTATTTCCAATGTTATTCAAGCAATTGTACGGAAAAGCATTACGTCCGGCTCATTGTGCTGGAGGATTTGCGATGATCCATTACATACTATATATTGGAATTGTGCTAGATGCTCAAACGTTATATGTTTTTATTGTATACAGTCGTTAACATTCATGCCAGCACAATTTCTTTGTTGCTATTGTGGATTAGCTAGTCATGATTTACCTCCCTTATATTAAGAAAAACATTCATACTTACACATCTTCCAAATCAACAGTTTTCTTTACCTTTAACAAACAATAATATCTCATTACTTTTCTATAGTCAATTTTGGTTTTCTCTGTACCACTTTTTTTTGAAACTTATAAGATAAAATGACTGTGGTGGCTGAAAAATATCCGGGTGTCTGTTATACATAATTCTGTCGGATGTCTCTACATAAAAGCTCTAAAAATCTACTTTCCGAAAGTATAATCATCAACTTTTTATAAAAAATAAGACCATTCAAGGTTAATAATTATCTATTTTACTGTGCAAACTGATAAACTGAATAACTGAGACTAGTCTCTATTCATTGGTAAAAACGATTTTTTATTTCTGTCACTGCTGACCAGAAATACTTAGGTTTTAGTTTTTTGGAGAATTGTTGTTGATTTTAGTAAAGATTACCAAATCGCCCCACCGACGTCTACGTAATTTCCGACTCACCCCATGTGGGGCGAGTTGGGAATTTGTTATTATTACACTTCATTCTTGCAGGTGTTTCTAATTATTCTTTTTTAAGATTTGATATACTGTGTTTGTCATGACGAGACAAATCGAAAGGTACCAAAAAGTAATTCAAAATCAATAAATATCAAAAAGATAATTGCATTTTTACTTTGGTCGAGAAAATGCATGGAATTCCTCATTCGCCTCACCGAGTTTATAGTATTTTACCGAATTGCCCCATTGGAGCGAATTAGGAATAGGCATGGAGCGAATCGGTAAACCTCCTACAGATAGCTCAACTGACCAGTTTTCCAGGAGATTTTAACACAGCAGGTAGAGTAGATGCTCATCTACTCGCCTGCAAAATCGCGCGCAAAAATCTTCAAAATTCATCGAAATGTTGATGAATTAGTACGGAGTAGTCGAAACTCCTACCGAATCGCCCCACTTAACTCTATACTTTCATATAATCAAGTCAATTTCAAAATAGAAATCACTCGTATGTTTTCTACTAGTGTTTGATGGAAAAAACATAAAGATCGGCATTTTCTGCCATTCGATAGCCAAGACCTGGATGCATGTTTCTGTAATTGAAAATAATCTTCAAATCTTTTCTTAAGTTTGACTTGCTAGAAGATCTTTGAAAACTTGGTAAAGATCTGGCCAATTTGAAATGGTAATACACATATATTTTATGCAACCATAGATAGCCCTAAGTATCCTCTTTAAAATGGGAGCCAAGCGAGATCACGATATACTGAGAGCTAGGCGTGATGTCGGAATTTGGAAAAAGCCCAGAACTGATATCAAAAGATTAGTAGTATCTTTGATAATATATGCGTTTAGATATGGGACAATATTAACAATAAAGTTTTTGAGACTTTTGCAGTCAACATGATTAATTAAAATTAAAATAAAGTATGAGTTCTGATGTTTCGATCATTTTCAAGTTACTCTTCGTATAGGATGTTGCATAACGTGAGCACAGTACAGTTGTTTCTCTTTAACTAGTGTTTTTCGTTTCTTGTCCTCGTTTCTGTTCTTTTCCTAGCATACAGAAAATACAAAAATTGCGATGAAAATTATTCTGGTTTTGTTTTATTTTTATATACAAACAAAGGAGGAAGAAATGCGGGTTTATACTGTATTTTAATTTTCTTAATTTTCGAAAACATTGTATTCTCCGATAAAAAAACAAACCCAAAAATGCTTTCAGTAGTACCTGTAAATAGAGCAAACATTTCTGATCAAAATGAAATATCTCCCAACTCTAAACAATGTTCTGGTCAAGCGTTATGAAAGTTTTGCTGGAAGCCTTAAAACATACATCGGATACTGGCGCCACCATATCTCGAAAGCGGCTTTCACCTTAACACCCTTTCGTAGCTGCAAAGTTTCTCAGTGACGAAACATCACAGAGAACTCGGAAAGGTCTTTATCAAAATCCTGCTTAAAAAACACACCGACTGATTGAGCCGTGTGCCAAAGATCTTAACTCTTGAATCATCGTTGTATTTTACACTTTTGTACGTGAAGTTTTGCCCTTCTTGAATAAAATTGTTGAAAGGAGAGTTTCTTTTTATAAAATCTTGGACAAGCTCTTTAACAAAAGATTTAAGAATCCAGGGTGTTGATTTCCTCGTGTTTCTTACTACGTTGTAGGTATAAGAAGATTCATGGGTGATAATATCTTCCTTACATACTACTGGAGCTTGTTTACCGATACATTACATCTACCATTAGTTTTTCGGTGAAGCCATACACGCTCTTCTTTCCATAATGTAAAAGGTAAATAGTAGCGTAAATAGCAGCTCCTTAAGAACTTTGAAAATAGTCAGGCGCATATTAATTCACGATACATCTTACTCCGGTTAGAGCGGGTTAGGTCAAGTCGTGATGTCTGTAGTCAATATATGTAACTACGTCTCCGAAATGGGTTAGGTCCAGTTGCATGTCTATGTAGCTGGGTCGGGTCAGGTTGAGCCAGCTTGTGTATTAAATAAGCAAAACGTGTCGAATATAGGCACATTTATGCTCTAAATCAAGCTCAGCTTATGGCGTCTGACGATGGGATTAAAAAAGAAACTATTTAAAGCGACTCCTCCAACGTCCAGAAAGTTAATTTTCATCCGAAAAGTTTAGTTTCCATAGAAACGGAAAGTCTGATCGCCGAGAATGTCTACTATTAAAATCCATAAAAGATTAGTCGATATCGCAAGTTCTTGCAGGATTTTCTTGAAGTCTGATTATACAGGATGCGTACATTTATTTTTTTAATAACTTCTTACATAAGATAGCTGCTCCCAAACCGCTAGATATATAGATAAAGTTGTTGCAATTTATGCAGATCATAGCCACGTTAAATCATCATGTTCTTTCTGTAACACTTAAAAGCGTTTTATTTATAAGTAATAAACAAGACAAACTTCAACAAAAAACGGCTGTGGATATCCTCAGTTTACGAAGATAATGATATTATACAATTTAAGATTGTAAGTCGAAGTAGCATAAAGAGAATGTACATAGAAGAGCATTTGCAATAATATTTCTATAATGAGAAAAGAAAAAAAGCTGATGGTCAAGATGGGGCTCGAACCCACAACCTTTGGCTTATTAGACCAATGCACTACCATTGTGCTACCTGACCTCGGCTCATTTTATCAGTAATAACAACGTACGACTAACAAATTTGAAAACGAAGTAAAATTTTATCAGCAACGAATGCAACTCAGAAGAACTAATTGTCTTCCAGCTTTCTTCAATTCTTTTATATCTTCTTTTATCTAAAACGCATTTCAAATACTCTACAACTTGAAACGGGAAAGGTTGATGTTAGAGTCCTGCTGAATGTTTTAGCGTTACCATTACCACGGTAATGGTAATGGAATTCCCATGGTAACGGAACATATTCCCACAGAAGGGGAAGAAAGAAACAAAAACACGTGCATAAGGCAGAAAATAACGAATATATAGGATGATGGACTAGCCCAAACGTTATATAATGTTTGACTGTATTAAATACAGTCAAGTGATATGGGATACCATTTATAATAAAGAGATAATATGATTATGAACTGGAATCTGAAAAGTATCCGGTCCCACTACCGTTACCATGAATTTAAATTTTTGTTACCATTTACCATCTATTATCAGGAATTAAAATCTCTTTTTTACTAAGTTTAGGAAAACGTTTGCTTTCGCAAAAAAGTTTGCTTGTCAAAAAATGCCTTTGTTCTGCTGTCAAGTGTTTAGTGTCTATCACAAAAACACGGTCTTCAGACGTTAATTTTAGATGAAAGAAAATGTTTTCCCAAACTTCGAGTGACACATCACTGAACGCGGTTTTTGACGCTGAGCACGAATATGACATTAATTTTTGATGGAAAATGTTTTTATGCATGGAAAGCTGGTTTTGATGTTCAGAAACCCGTTTTTCTCTCCGAACTTAAAAGTCTAAATTTCTCTTTTCACACCTATGTACAGTAACTACTTGACTATCTGATGACGCAAAGATATCCAAAATACGTTTGCCCTCCCGTGCAGAAAAGATATGTCAAAAATAGCCTCAAGATCCAAAATATTAAAAGATGGGCCAAATTTTCTCAGTTAACTTCCACAGTATATTTATCTTACTCAGTTTTGGGCCCTCTTTCGAATGGTATAATACTCATTCTCGAGATTTCGAGGTCACACTGAAGAGTATGGCACTTTTGGCTTAAAGTCGCGTTTTCACCCTAAGGAAAAAGCTTTTTAAAATTATTATTTTACCAAATTGTAGCTCGTGCTCTCCTCTATCGATTGATGTAGTTTTCATACTTTGTCGGTGCGTATACAGCGTAACAAAAGGTTTTTATCAACTGTACGGAAAATTTTTGCCGATCGGAAAATGTTCACTTTTCGGTCTACACAGAACAACAATGAATATTTCTAACTTTTTATCTACAAATATACTAGAGAGAGCGGAGAACATTTTGGTGCAAACCGCTTGTCAAAAGCTCAGAATAACTGATTGTCTTCTGGCTTTTCGTTTCGTCCATACCTGCTTTCACGTAAAACGCGTTTACTGCTGTTGTATCTGTATTGTGCTAAATAAATATCGAATGCTTCGATCCTACTGGACTTGGCTGACTGTCAACCATCGTCCCTCAAGATGGCTGACATGCCTAAAATTAAGCAGAGCTAGGTTAAGATGCACTAGGACTAAATGCCAGACCGATCAGGCTATACGAAATATCCCGATCGAGATTTGTAGCCCAATCAGGACAGATGGTATTGACCGATTGAGATTTTATCTAGATTATGATTTGAAGATAAAAATGGTTCTGAGATGGCACTGACAGGAAAGCCTTGTGTTGTTTAAAACACAAGCTCTACGCCAGACAAAACAACAACCAACAGAAATTTGTGTAATTATGTTTGTGAACAAATAAATTCCAGCAGCAGTGTAGGATATAGCAAAAACTTCATAAAAATTGTTAAAGAAACGGACATTTATTCAAAAAGAAATAGTTCGGATGTCCGAAATTGGTCTACACCATCCCTCTGTCTAGCTGAACTAATCTTCCTCCTCCTCGAAAAACAACTAGTCGTCTTTAATCAATATCTCTGAAGCCGCGGCGTAATCAACGGGGGGCGGGGGGAGTGAGGATGCGGCAAATGAGTCATTACCCCTTTCATTTGTAGATTTACCCACTGTAATTTTTATTAGTAAGTTTTTATGTATATAATTATATATACAAATGCATCATCGTCGTCTTAATTTTGGTGTTTGAATTTGAAATATAATATGTCATAAACAGAGACATTAAAATAGACTAAAACACACCTAACTTAGGCTTAAGATTTGAGTTTGATGCATATTTGATTAAAAGAACCTCATTTCATTTCATTCAAGGTCAAATGTTTTGGTCCGTCAATACAAACCTCGCCCATTTTGCCCAAGATTTATTCCGACACAATAGAAGTTTGCCCATTAATCTAAAAATCCTGGTTACGCCGCTGCTCTGAAGATAATTAGATGAAAGCTTTCAGACTTCTTTTTCTCGTTTCTCCAGCCAAGGAGAAGGGACAATATTCTGTCACTAAGCAAAATAGATCAATACACAACCTTTTCATTGACATTTTTAAATCCAAACAAGCCAAAGCGCACGATTGCTGCTTGTTGTCTATCTCACTGACCTAAATACTAGAATACCTTTTTTTTAACAAAAAATGTAACTTTTCACTGACAAAATAATCTTTACTTTTCTACATATAAAAAGAAAATAAACGAAAAGAAATAACAAAATAGGAATAGGGAAACTTTTTAAATAAAATAAAACTACTATTATAGCGAAAAACAGAATAAAACGGAACACACTGTTCTGATATGATCACAAAGCGAGATACATCGATGTATTCGAGATCAAACACAATGAAAAATGGAAAACTGTATAAATACAAAAAAGGAAAACAAATAGTCTGACTATCATTCATTTGTCGGAAGACAAACATTCCGAAAAAAGAGCATCGTTAATTCATTATATCATTAATAAAAGCACAAAAAAGAGGAAGAAATATGGTTCTGTAAATACACTAACAAAGTTTTCTCGTCACACATTTACACAAGTATTTGTATTATTAAATAAAAATTCTTGATCTGATGGTAGAGTGCCTGGAGAACTATAGAAGGAGGAGGAGGATGAGGATGCAAATGACGTATATTGTGAACTTAAATTTGTATTGTTAGTATTTCCTAATGTTATTTCTTGGGCAGCTTGTCTTAATTGCTCATGTGTTAAATTTGTTGCACCTTTCAATTCTTCTAAAATCAATGCAGTATATCGTATATCTATGTCTGAATTATCAAGTATGCCATATACTAAATTTTGTGCATAATCATTATCATTTCTATTAGTATTTTTATCACCGTTGTTATTGTTACTAGTGCCAAAATTAATTGTACGTAAACGGTTATCAAGTTGTTCAGCTTAATAAGATGAAATAAATAAACAGTTAGAATAGAATGCAGCATCTTAACAGTCGCGTCAACAAACCGCTAACACTACATTAAAATTGGACACATACACTAATACCTATCGAATCGCACGAGAACTCACGACACCACTTTTTTTATCAAGAACATCACAAATATCTCTTCAGGGGTGAAACACCAGCCCCGTCTTACATACACATAAATATCGGACAATAACGACAACTTACTTCGTGATGACTCGTCATTTTCAACCATTAATCCCCGATTGACTATCTAGAAGGAGAGAAAACAAGAAAGCTCAATAGATTGCCTCCAAAGTTATTTAAAAAAGATGGATCACCCTAAAACTTTTTAGCAATCCGTATCATTTTCTGAAAATGCGCTTCAAGAGAGGTCGATTCCGCTTCCAGTTAAATCATAGGAGGAAGGCACCTGCCCTCACCTCATTGTGTCCTTAATATACTTCTCTAGATTTTCAAACTGAGCGCAACATTCGACTGATTGACCCAGTTCCAAAAGTTTCTAACGTGTTTTGGTTGCATCTGATCATTTTCGGTATCCAGGCTACAACAGTAGAGGATAATTTCTCAATTTCCTTTTTAGTTCATTATGACAAATATCGTCGGCAGTCCTTCAAAAATTAGTTAAATATAGTTTTAAAAAGTCACATAGCAAACACAAACTGGTAATATGCTTTGCTTCATGCAGACAATATAAGGGTTCAGTTGTTTAAAAAAATATAGATAACAATTTCCGAGAATCCTAGAATTTTCGGGAATTTTTAGAACTAATCAAACCTTCCTACGAAGTCTAATGTGGAACAAACATTGGCAAAAATATCTTACAGATACCTTTGTTTGATTTGAATTGCTCACAAGAGCACTTTCTTGACTTTTGTATTTTCGCCGTGAAAATATTCTAGCCAATACAGAACGACATCGATTCGCTGATGGATGCATTTGAATGCTCGTATTATTCGACGTTTTCGATTGCTCACTACAATAATTTAACAAACAAAGAAACAAACACGAAATTAATAGAACGTACAGATTTACCGCTAAAAAACCTGAAACTTACCGTTCCCTAAAACTTCCTTCTTCTCTAATATTTCCGCGACGATTGTTCGATGTTACTGTTTCCAGAGATGGATCTTCATGTTCCGGAACTCTTAAAACACACTGCTCCGATTCAATGTTACATCCATCAGCCGACACAACACTGCTAGTCAGTAAATAATAAGAATTTTTAGCAATACTCAGCGCTTCTCTGAGTAGAACACTGAATTATATACCCAATTCGACACTGTGGTGGAACGTAGATTTCGATTGTTTGAGCAAGAACTGATCCATGTGAATCACGTTTTAAACGTCCGTCAGACGCAACTTGATATTGAATTGGCTGCTGAAACGTTAAACCAGGAACATAACCAAGAAATTGTTGCGGTTTACGCATTGCTCGTTGAACGGTGCCCACTACCGGTCCGAATAATGAATGATCACGCTGAAAATGAGAAAAAAAGTTAAGGCAGTTTTAAGATAAATTTATAAAAACTTTCTTTGCGTACCCGATGTTGTGGTTCTTCTTCTTTCCAAAATTTATTAAACATTTCGTCCTCTTCCAAATCACCTGAAATAGCTCGTCGTATTTCCGGACCAAGATCGTGAAGTTGTCTTAAGCCAGCTAACACAGCTGTGGAATGTTTCATTGCACCCGATAAACCTAATACAGCTTGTTTTGCTGCTTGTTCTTTACGTTTTTTAAATCGTCGGAAACAATCTTGAATTATAAATGTTGCATAAAATTTGCCCACCGTTACATTATCATCGCCTAAAACAACAAAGATATATGTAGAAAACCAAATGGTTACAAAATTCGCATACTTCCTGGTGGTGGTATAATATTATCTAAGAGTTTCTGTGGTGTACGCTTCCATATCTTTTTAATAACAGCACGTAGTTCTTCATTTGCTCGATCAATATTTCCTTCAGTTTTTATTTTCAGTGATGTACGAATCAATGCAAATAATGTGGCATTAAACATAACAGTTCCATCGACATTTAGTGGCATATTCATTGAAACGAGTTTCTATAACGAGACCAAGAGATAATTATTTTTACAGTGATTAAAGGGAATTTCTGTAGAGAACGAGCCCAGAAATGAAATGTGACGAGGCAATATTTTACTACCTTGCAGGCTACACGATGTGGACACAATTTGCCGAAACCAAGTGGCGGATTTATTTTTCTTAGTAAAGTTATTACATCAAGATGTTTGATTCTTCCTCTATGAAACGAAAATAAGAAACAGACATACACATACATGTATACATAGCAAAGACAAACGAAGAACAATAAACAATAGGGATGTTCGGTTTTCGTTAAGAACCGGAATCGCGATTCTCTTATTTTCGGTTCTTCATCGAGAAACAGAACTGCGATGCTGGTTCTGCCAATGGAACCGGAGTCGTGGTTTTTTAGACGATTCCTTTTTTATGGAACCGAGACCTTTTATCTTGTTTTCTTTCGACCAAATGAAGACACACTATTGACAAAGCTACAAAAAAATATATTTGCATGTTATCGTTTAAAAGAATCCTTTCATTTACTATGCAATGAATTGTATTTCGTTGAATTGTTACTGCATGAGAAATTCTTTTCCGGTTCTAAGCTGAGAACCGCGATTCTGTTCTAAGTTCGGAACCGATACCTCTTCTCTTTGTTTCGGTTCTAACTCGAGAACCGGAACCGAGAACCGAACATCCATAGTAAACAACAAGCATGCAACGGTACTAACCCTGCCAGTACCAATACCGATAGTACTGTTGCATGCCTACTAAGTAATATCTAACGATGCACACAATACATAATCATAACTTGGCTATAGATAAACACAAGAAAAGTGATTGAACTTAATGACCATTTTAACAAAGGTTATTTTCCACCTTGTTTCCAGTTATTAAAAAACAATAATTTACTTAGGATACTTAGGCTCGCGAATCTTGAAAGGTTTAGAGGCAGGAACTTATGAAACTGAATCTGCCTAAGCGAGATCGAAGTTTTCTCTAGAACCGACTGTTTTTTAAGTGTGCAGTGAAGTTTTCAAACAAAAAATGCTTTACAGCGAAGAGGTTCGCTTTGAATGAAAAAAAATTAATAAAATACAAATTGATCCTGTACACTTCTAAATCTATCGTATCTGGTTGGAAAAAATTAACTTTTCAACGTGTTCATTGCACAGACAACACCAGACAAATGAAACAAGTTTAGAGTCAGTTTCTGATAAGTTCAGGTAAATGAACTTGTGCTTCCTCAACTTGGATCGTCGAATAGGTCTACGAAGTCTATCAGGGATGTTGATTCAATTTTTTCTCGGTAAGCCAACTTAGTGCTGACTAGTGAGCACGCTGGAAATATGCAGCGATGTTTGCCGTATCATAATTTGTTTTCAAAAGATATTGCAAATTCGAAATGCCGGAGAACAGCATCAATTACCGATTTTTGCGCACAATTTGACAGATATCTGAAAATTTTCTTGACTACAAGAAACTTTTCATAAAAATTACGTTCAGGTTTACCCATGGGGAAATTTTAGTAGGTACCGCGGTGTGTACACGCGCCTCACTTACGCCTGAAAATGTTTTCCACTAATTTCATTGTGAAAAATATCTTCACATTTATTCGCACGTCAGTTTTTCATGCAACCCATTTCGTGAATAATATTCACGCTTAACCCAAAGCGACAAGATTCTTACGTTCGACGCGCGTTCACGTGAGAAACCCTTTTACAGGTGCGAAATGTCGTGAAGATTGAGCGGCAAGCATAAATACAAATTTCTTCTATATCTTCCGAAAGTTGTACATACATACAGATGAAAACCTTTGCTGTAGACCGAAGGTATTTGCTGTAAGAATATGCTTGAGAATCATCTTGTTCCCCGCGAGGAAGTATCAACTTAAAAAGTTTGGAAAAGTTGGAAACTAAGAAAAAAGATTTAGGAAGTTCACGAGTAATCACGCGTGGTAACTTTTTTACACGTGGTAACTCGTAAGGATTGATTCGACAACTATGAATATGAGATTTATTCAGTGGTTTCTCAGGCAAGTTAGCTCAATAGTAGTATCGTAGATTTCTAATTCAAAGTACCCTGGTTCGACTCTTACTTTGCGGTGATATATATAAAATGTGATATTTTGAAACTAGTGGTCACACGTGGAAAAAGTTATAGATGAAGTTGCATTGATGAAATCTGCACCTTGACCATGTATAGTCAGTTGACTATAGATGGTCGGCATGGTCAAGGTTTTTTCACACGTAATCACGCGTGAAGATTGTTCACTTGTGTACACGTGTGAAGATTTTTCACGCGTAGCCACGCATGTGATGTTGCAACAACGCGACCAAACTGTCGTGAAACTTGCTGTTTTTACCTACAAAATTTCGTGAAAGTCCAAGCTGACATTTCACGGTCCCTCACGTGTGAAAAGTCGATAAAATTTTCTCATGGGTAGAATGAGCGTCGAATTTGGGATCGAATGATGTATCATATGCAGACAATTGAGAGACTTTCATTGTTTGTGTATGTGACACAACCCCTCAAACCTGCACTTCCAGGTGCCAGAAAAAATTGTTTTCCTGTAAATATCGACTATGGATCACCATTTGATCGCAACTTCGATAACTGCAGCTGTTCTCCGGAATTTCAAACCTGCAATAACTTTTTGAAAATAGGCAGACTTCTTTATTAGACAAAATTTATCAAAACCTAACGGTGGTGTTATACTTCGTAGTAGATTTACAACTTCCAAGTGTTTAGTTCGGCATTATCCAGTGATTAGTGCTGGTGTCCGAAATTATTTTTTGCCGTCGATTTTGTGTTTACTAATATTCTTACTTTGCTTCTGGATCATATTTGGACCATAATCTAACAAATTCATCAAGATGATGTAGACCAAGAATACTCCAATCACGCGTTAAATAATCAAAATTATCCATAATAACAGCCACGAACAAATTAATCATCTTCAATTGCGGAGAACAGAAAGATATATGGGTAACTAATAATATAGATTTATAGCAAATAACTTACGAGTAATGAAGAAAGAATATAAAATGAGAGAAAATATGGTATTGAAAAATAGCTGCCGCATGTATCACTGGCTTTTGGTTTGGATCTTTCATCACATTTTAGACTTGCACTTCGTCCACACGCATACATAATTTCTTGCCATGCTTCACCAGTCGCACATCTGTAGAAAAACGAAAAAAAAAAATGCATCAGGCGCTCCTCAAATAACATAAGAAATAGCATAACAAATAAATACACACCGAAATAAAACAAATAATGAACTAAAAAATGTTTGGAAATTATTGTTAACATCAATCTGTGTATTATCGTCCAAAGCAATTTTTCCAAAGATCTAAATAGTAATAAAAAAATTACATTATTTTTTTCAAGTATCCGTCCAAGAACAATCAGCTATACTTTTACCTGCATACCAATAACAGCATAGATAAAAAATAACATAGCGATAATTAGCGAGACGTAGGGCAATGCCTAGAAAGAAGAAGAAAAAATTTAAGAAATTTTCAAAACAGGCAAAATTCATCTTAAATAGATTTTACCTTAAATGATTTAATAAATGTCCATAACAATGTACGAATTCCTTCACCTCGATTCAATAGTTTAACGAAACGTATAACACGAAATAGACGAAAAAAGTTGATGCTAATTCCAGCACTTACACGCTAAAATTAAAAAAAATAGAACGAAAGCGTATCAAAATGTTTTACATGCTGCGCGTTGATATGTCAAATTAAATAATAAACGTAAAAAAACAACAATAATAATCAATGTAGATCTCAATAAAATAAATTTTATCCATCGTTATTGTATAACATAACTAAGATAACTAATTGTATAACATAACTAACACGGATAACTAAGATGTAACATACTTCCCAGGAAGAAATTTTGGATTCTCGCAAGTCCTTTGCATGCATTAAAATTTTGTTTTCCGTCTTAAAGGCGTTAAAAACCTTCTTTTGACACATTTTAAGGCTTTACACGACTCTTAGATTTTTAGCGCGTTCTCTAGAGTTCCCCATGTGAAAGATGTTCGAATGCGTTATTTTTATAAACGTCTATAATGTATGTCAAGTTTTAATGCATTGTAGCGTCTTTAGAAAACTTTTACGGGCTCTGACGCTTCTCAGGCGTTATAAAATAAGGCGTTCGCACGCCTTCCCGTTTCTCAACTGACTTGAATTCATACATCAAGTAGAAGGCGTTAGCAGAATTATAGTTTTTAACGCGTTTGGGCAAGTTAACGATACGAAGGCATGTAAACAACTGTTTGCCGTCATCGTCATTTAATGGATGGGAACGCGTTAAAAATCAATGCAAGTTCATTCATTCAAATTTTTCGTAAGTTCGCGCCTTTTTTGTTCTTCAATAAATGTGTAGAAAAACGACTACTTTTTCTCTTTTTTTTATGTATTTACACGCGTTTTGGGCTGAAAACGCGTTTAAACGCACCAGAAGGGCGAAAAATAGGCGTTTTTCGCTCACAGTCGGGAACCCCGATTGTCACTCAAACACGCCCACTTTTTCTAGATTTTTTGTCTTTTTGTGCGCTTAAACGCGTTTTCGAAAAGTTTGTCTGCTTGGGTAGGTACGGGGAAACGGATGCAAAGCCGTTCGTGGTTAGATTACATCGCTTCACATTCATTAAATAATGGAATAAACGTAAAGGAAGCAAAAAAGTTCACTTTTCGCACGCATTCCACTTTCTTACTGCGTGCAAAGCGCTTCGTCATTACATTTCATCCTTGCACAGTCATTAAATAATGCAAGAGATCAAAAAAGTTCACTTTTCGCACGCATTCCACTTTCTTAATGCGTGCAAAGCCCTTTGTCATTCTATAGCGCATTCTTTCGAAGGAATAAGAAAGTCAGAATGCCTTCACATGGACTAAGAAAATGCATTATGTACATGCGTTCCATTTTTTAACCTATGCGAAGACGTTCAAAATTACACCAGGTCTTAACACTCGTTAAGATGTGGAACGCGTGGAACGTCATGACTAATATTCACTATCTGTACGCGCTCAACAATTTTTTAATGTATGTAAAGGCGTTCGTAATTACATTTCACTCCTTCGAACGCATTAGAAGCCTTCGGATTTCCTAATGCGAACTAATATCCGCAGGCTGCGAAAACCTTCTTTTGACACATTCTAAACCTTCCGAAGGCTTAGTTTTGGCCATTTTTGGACAAAATTATGCGTTTGGACACATTTTTGGTATAAAATTTAGATTTAACACATTGTAAGGCATCGGACACTATTTCGGACCTGCGATTCAGGTTCGATTTTTGCCCTTTTAATGCGTTCACACGTATTAGCGGTGCGAAATTGTCTACTTTAGTGCGTTCGAATGCCTTATTGTGGCGCATGAATCTAACTTAAGAGAACTTAATACATTAAAAGGACCTGCGAAGGTCCAAAATTTCTTCCTGGGTTCTTCCTTTGATCTCATCACGGTAAAAGGAGGGTAAATATAAGATATGGAATGGGTCCACTGGTGTTTTTCATGTCTAATGAAAGTTTTCTGATATGAAGCAGTGTGAATCATGCTAAAAGATGAACGTTGTCTGGATGCTACAAGAAGATTTGTGTCGAAAATCATTAAGATTCGGAAAGTTAACATGTTCTTCTATAAAATAAAAATATTTAGAATTTCCGACATTGCAATAGAAAGCATTTGTCTAACCGATGATATCAACATATGATACTTTGGATATAGCAAGTCATCATTTTTTCGATAATGAAAAATAACACTATTGAGTTAGCAGAAAATTAATAAAAGGGTTCTCTATAAAATGAACAAATAATATGTTTAAATTTACGTTTACTTATGCTTAATCAAGTTAAAAAACTCGTTTTAGAGCCTACAGGAGACCCTTTTTTACTTATTTTCTCGTTTATTATATAGCTTCGACCCAAAACCAACACCAAATTTAGAATCAGTGTCTGATTTTCAATCGAAGGCTGTGTCATACATGATTTTTCGATATCGCCCGGTCTCACTTGTGGATTTTAAATTCAATGCTTTAAATTCAACTTCGTTTTTATAGGAAAAAATAAACGAAAAAAACAAAAAGTCTAGGGTCATACAAAATTAAGTGTCTATGCGCTTGTGTGTATGTGTCGGTACGGAGCTGTGACATACGGACATTTTGAATATGGACAACTTTAAAGCATGAAAGCTGTGTGCAAGAAATGCTCTGATTACACTGCGATGCCCAACCCCAAAACGTGTCGTGTGCAATATATATTTTAGAATGTTATATATTAGAGGCAAGCATTCACTGTTTGGAATGTTCGGTTCTCGGTTCTTGTGAAGAACCGGAAGCGCGGTTCTCCTATTTTCGGTTCTTCAACGGGAACCGGAACCGCGATGTCTTAGACGGTTCGTTTCGGAACCGATTTTTTGACTTGCCTTTCGTTTAACAAGATGAAAACACACTGTTGATAAAGCTAGAAAAAGATATATTTGCCTGTCATCGCTTGAAAGAATCTTTTCGTTTACTATAAAATAATGTCGTTGAATTGCCACGCCTGAAAAATTATTTTCCGATTCTAAGCTAAGAACTAAGAACGGCGGTTCTGGAACCGAGAACCGAATATCCTTACGTCACTATTGGGGAGTTCAGCGAGGCAGTCAGATGTAATAGAATCTTGGGGGCCGTCTTTGCTTTTTTGAAAGATTCGGTACCGTTGTAACCAGATCTACTTTTTGAAGCTGTCTTAAGAAATAGGACAATGAGGTAAAGGAGAATGCCAATAGAGAGTTAAACTTTAACATTTGTATGGTCTGTAATGGAAAAAGAAATGAAGGACGTCACGATTTAAGAGGAGGTGCACCATAGAGTCGAGAAAGGTTAAAACGTGAAAACAACTAACGTATACTTTTAACGATTTCATTCCATTCTACCTCTGAAACTGGGGTTATGAAAATTCTTTTAGACCTGTAGATCTCATCAAAGTTGGAACCGGTTGAATTTTTCCTAACTGGACCGGCCGGTTTAATGCGTAGTTCACCCGGTAATAAACCGGCCGGTTCAGTTTTGGAGTTCAACTGGTAAAAAACCGGTCGATTCCATAGCAGATTAAAGTCCGGATTTTGTGAAAAACCGATTTTTTGCAGAAAGCTAAGCTTGTGTATTTTCAAAATCTTCCTGTTATGGTTATTTCAGTATTAACGTGAGGTATTGAGCACGAAGTTCAACCCAATACGAAACGAAGAAAAATTCGCGGACTAATTTCTGATGGTGTATGAAACTCAGTAGGAAAAACAATATAGATTAATCACGTTTTAATGGAGAAAAAAAACTTTTTTTCGGGCTAATATTTCATGAAGAAGGAAATGTTTTCGAAATGTGAAAGAATAATGGAAGAAAATTTTAACCTGTGTTCATCTATATCCGAAATTCGCCAGGTATAGGACAAATGTAAAATGAATTAATAGATCATTTTTGGATCTACTGCCTTTTTCAACCTCCCTTGGGCGATTCCAGTTGACATCTCGAACTTTTGTTATACAGTAGTCATCTCTCGCTTGTGATTCGAAACCGACAGCAACCGGTCGGTTGAAGTGTAGTTAAACTGGTAAAAAGACCGGTGTTAACCGGCCGGTTGCAAAGTTCAACCGGATGGTCCGGTTCCAACTCTGGAGTTCATGCTTACCGAGATAAAACATGTTTTAAATAAGGTCCTGTCCTATGATGTTCTGTAAAAAGCACCATCTTTAGTATTTTTTTCATTCTCTAAGGCTAAATTATGTTTGATTTGTTGGAATAATATCTCATTCGAAACAGGAGATAAAGCTGCGTCGAAACGATGTATTTGCTGATGAAGAAGGGTGATTCCATGGGAAACCTCCCACTATATGTAAAATGTTCTTCAAACTCGATGAAACTTTCAGCGTTTATTCAACTATCCTTCGTAACTACTGGGATATATTTGCTTTTCGAACAAGCTACACCCTTGGGCGGTGGAGGTGGCA